GGATATAAAGATATATTTTAGACGAACCCCATGATTAACATTCAACTGGTTTCACTTTGCACATTTTCATTCCACAATGTCATTATAGTTTTCTGCACATTTTACTATGGCCGTACTCTGTCCTTTTCTTTCTTCTATTATTCCCAAACAGTTTAGCAATGTAGACTTTTTTTTTATACATACCTACATCCTCTGCCACACAATGGCTTGATTCGTTTGTGTGCTTTTCATGTATAGAGTGTTATTAGATGCACCTATTTTTGTACTTCGCTAATTGTTTTACAAATTTTCCTCCAAGTCTGTTTGTACAAGCATTGCATCTGTACTTAGCACCCCTTATGTAATACCCGCAATCCAAGGGCCTTTTGGGGCAACTTGAATAAACAAACATCTTCATACTGTCAATCCCTTGGAATAGTTATTAGAGGAGTGGTATCTTGAAAATATGAAAAGCAGTAACAATAACGATTTCGGGAAGTCTTTCAGTTGAGGAAAGTTTTTAGTATTTGCCTTTAGTATTACTCTTTAATATATAAACAATTCTGAATAATCCCCCAAGACGTGACAGATGGTGGCCCTTGTTTGCTTCTGATGACAGCCGACATTTGCCCTAGTACCAGTGATAGCCCTAGATAGCAAAATGCTGTAGTCCTAGTGATGGGACATTCTATTCTTTTGATCTACTGTAATGAGCATGAACCTTGCATCACGATTGCTTAGTTTACCAAGACAAAAGGATTGAAACTTCAATTACGAATTGCAAGGGTTTACTATGGCACAGCAAGTTGCATGTGTTGGGCAGTCAGAACAAAACGGTCTTGGACTGCGAGTCTAACACCTTTCTGGCAAAATTGGCTTCTCGAATAGCTTGCATGTGAGCTTCCTGGCATATTACCAATTCATTTCCGCTGATATGGTAATGTCTTGAGTCAGTGCATTGTGCAAATGCAACATGTCTGACATACGTTGGAAAGTCAATAAAACTTTGCACACATAAAATATGTACGAATAAAGCTGCAATTTTCACGACTGAATGTAACAGCATGTTGTGCTTATTTACGTAGACATCATTAATAATGCACTAATACTTTTGACGCTCTACTTCTGGAAATCAATAAGGGATGTTTAAGTGTCAAGCACAACTGAAGTTTTCATCGTTCTTCCTTCCCACACACTTTTCTTCAGGGGCTTACAGTTCGAACCCTTCCAATAGGGCACGAAGTGTCTATTCAATATTGTACAATGTGGTATTCATCCAAAACTATAAGGACATTTTGCATATTTTCTATAATTAAAACTTACAAACAACCTTGTCGTAATAACTATTGCTCACCATCACAAAATGTATAATGTTTTCAAACCAGAAACTAAAACGACGAATTAGTTTGAGTATGAAATTAGAGCATGTTCTTGTAAGACTATGTATTGAGTGTAGACGTGCTAAGTGAATGTACACAACATATTTGCACAGCATGGTATAAGTGTTCCCCGCCGCTATACTAGTATGTGCCAACCACCTCATGTCATACTATTTTGCTGGCTATAAGATGCACAATATGCTCAACGATTTCATATCAATGATCAATAAACTTGCGATGCTGACTGTACTATGCAACACTTAACCAAGAAAAGCATAAGGAGAAGAATTTTTTTGGTATTATGCAAGCAGTTTGGCCACTGCTGAAGTACACTGCTTGCAATATAACTTCAAGAAAGCATCTCGTATCAATGGAGCTAAGAGCTACCTATTATAGGCTACCCTCCTCTCAGACCACACTTTTTCTCCTCAACTTATTCAAGCAGTCAGGTCCAAAGTCAGTCTTCCTTGAACACCCAGAGCTTCTAAATCTGGCTAAGCTAATGTATGTTCCATAAGACATTTGGCAGAAAGGGCAGGATATCGCCAAAAATACCGAAGCAGACACACTTCATTAATAGAGTGTAGGTGGGGTAGGCATATAGATATCAGTGAAATAAAATAGATTGTGCTGCTCCCTACTCCTTCAATGTAGACAGAGTGAACAAGAATAACAGTTGTCAAAAGACTCGAAAGCAACACAGAGAAATGGTGCAGACCAACCAGCTAAACTTGACCTTGGAAAACTCAGTTCTCAGTAATTTTACAATTGGAAGTTCATTTTTTGTGAGAAATTTTGTTTCATTTTCGACCTTTGCACTGGGACTTCGGCACCCGAATTCAGTGTGACGCCATGGTTTCAGCCCTTTGTCTTTAGGCAACACTGACTCAACAAATTTCCCGAAATGTTCCATATCAAGTCATTCGCTTCATTCATACAAAATGTAATTCATTTATGCAGATAAGGAATTATGCATACACCAGCAAACGTCTTAAAAGTCTACAATATCATGGTGAACTGGAGTAGGCACTTTATACAGCAGTGTCACCTGTATTTTTCCCCCTCACATTTTCTTGCAAACACCACTCTTGTGACAAGAGTGGAGCTTTTGATATTGTGAAAGGAATATTACTAAAGAAAAATCACTTGTTTTTACTCTCAAGATGTGTCAAAGCATTGGCAACACCTGTGCAACAGATGTGCACACTCCATTGAATTTGATAAGGTTCACAGCATATCTGCAGGGAAAAGGAGCTTAAGGTACAGTTCATAATAAGTGAAATGTGTGCATTTATTTGGGCCAAACAAAATACAGATTTAAGGAAGAAGTGATTGTATGTTTGAATTTAGGGGCGTGTCGACCGAGCCACTCAGCAAGGCCCTTTCCCGACCTTTTAATGTCAAATTCCAAGCTTTTTCTGCTAGGTATGTGCGCAGTAGCTCACAAGTGAAGCCTCTTAGTTGTCCCAAGCACACTGAAGCTGTCTGCGAGTGTCGCATGACGTGTGCACATTTTAGAGGCCTGCTGTCACGGAGCATCATGCTGTATATTTATCAAAAGCATTTGAAAGCAACCCGAGTTGCAATGCTGAAGGGATGCTCACACTATAAAACAGAGTGCGCAAGTTCACCTCAGGTGATGTAAAATTCATACGAGTCGCGTCATCAGCAACAACGCATCTCGGTGCTTCAGAGTGTATGCAGTTCAAGCACTTCAAGCTCTGCAGGCTCAATGAAAGGCCAGAGTGGAGGGGAACGTGACGGACATGTGGTGAGCACATGAATGCAAACGCACGGCCACCTGGCGCTCATTACATGCGAAGGCCACGGCGCGGCCTACCAGAACGCGACGGCGAGCAGCTAACAAGTGGATCTCGGGAAGGAAACAGCGAGCGATGGAAGCCAGTTTCCTGAGGAGGCGCCCCCTTTCAGGCGCATTAAAAAAAATAGTAAAAATAAAACTAGGGGGTGAGCGGAATGCCAAAGGAGGAGGCGCGAACACTTTAGCAGTTCACACACGGCTCAGCGAACGAGGAAATCTATGACTGGAGTGGGACGTAACGCCTTTCGCACTCTCGAAATAGGCGTGATGAACGGTCCTTCCACTGATCCAACACCACCTGACATCATAGACTGGCGGGGGAGATAAAAAGAGTTTTCATCCTGCGATGATCGACGTTTTTTTTTTTTTTTTTTCTGTACGGAATTCTTTTCCGCCATAATTTTGCAGTAAATATAGTTCCGCTGCGGACGCAGATGAGTCGATCAGACGCAACAGCGTTCAGCGGGAAAGTCGAACAATATTTGAAACTTATGAAGGATGATCTGAAATGGCGCAATCAAATTAGCATGGACACAGAAAGGGAAGGCTATGACGCGAGTTAATTTTAGTATTCCTTTTATGTGACCGTTGTCTTTTTCACGCCATGGAAAAACATAGCTAACGGGTCCTAAAATTACTTCATCAAGAATGACATCTGGCAAACAGTACACTATCAGTGCCGTATACAGGTCCTACAACTACTTCAAGAATGACATCCGACAAACAGTACACTATCAGCGACGTATGAAGCTATGAATTGAGTACCAGAGTACAAATAAATGCTGAAGCCGGACAGCCAACTGTAAACATTATTTTAAAAAAATGGTGTGCGAGAGAGAATTTCATTAGAACATAAGCACAAACATTTGCACCCAAGCTAGCTACAACTCAGACATTCGGGAGAGCGCTTTTTTTTTTTTTGTACCGTTAAAGCCATGCTGCAGACAGTTCGTAGTGCGAAGATGAAATCTGAACTGGCGATAATCAACCAGTCATTAGTGATGATTCGATCAAGTGATGACTCGCGCCCGCGAGCGATACGAGGATAAACAACGCGAACGGCGCACATTCACATCGATGGTTGCCGCTTTCCTTTTCGGGTGTCCTCTGCCTTCGACCAAGCATTTAAGTGTGTTGGTGACGTAATAATGCCCAGGAAGATTACTTTTGTGGAAAATAATGCTGAAGAATTGTTTTGCAACAGTTAACCACCTAGAGCGGTAGGATGCGAGAAGCTCACACCGAACAATTTATCAACAAGCACTGCAAGAAGAACAAAACACGACAAAGTCAGAAATAAAATTCTCGTTAGCGAGGCAACAGTTACGGCAGAAGTAGACGAACGCCGACGGCATCAACAGGCGAGCGCGGGACACCGCAGCTGCGACTGCCAAGGCGACGACCTCTGCCCATATCACGAAGCCGCGCAACGTAAACACGCCGCTGCGCCCACAACTTCAGCCGCGGTACGGCCCTGCTGCAGCGTCACTACTTCGCGAGTTCAAAAAAAGAAGAAAAAAAAACAAGAAGCGAAAGCTCGACCGGCCCGCACCAACTGCATATTTCAATCGAGCCCGCGCTGACCGATATGCATGCAACCTTGCATCAGACGGTGCATTACCCACGTGCTCATCCGCACCGCCGGCTCATCTGGATCAGCCGGCCGGCGCTGTTTGCCGCGCAGCGGATAAGTTTGCCAGTATGCAGCATAAAACAACCGCGTAAAATACACAGTGAACAACAGATGACACTGTCCCAGCCGCGGACACCGAGTAAAAAAAAAAAAAACGCGAGCAGACGTTCTTGAACCGGGGTCTCACCTGACGGCCAGGTAAACCGACACAAACAGCACCAGAGCGGTCAGCATCTCGACGCACTACTGAAGGTCCTCGCAGTGAAAGCGACGGTGGCCGAATACGGAGGCAGCAAAGACACCGAATCCACCCGGGACAATCATGCTCTCGACGCGACCGGTGCAGTGATAGCGACCAGCAGATTACGCCATGACCGCACCGGCGAACACAACATTTACAAAACCAAAGCGGAAACTCGCTACGCAGCAGACCGGAAGCGTACGCGCCAGCGCGGCACTCGATTGGCTCGCTCGCGCGCATGCAGCGGCCGCCAGGGGGCGACGCGCGCACATGCGACGCGGAAAACGAGGCCAGCCAGCGAGCGTAGCATAGCGCGGACCGTAACGCAAACTGGGAAAAACGTCTAAGCGCTTCCGACGAACTCCACTTGCGGCGGTACAGCTGGAGAGAGAGAGAGAGAGGTTTCCTTCGTACTTCACTTTTTTTTTTTTCTTCACCCAATTTCGTAACGCCCCGCATTCCTCCCGGTTCAGTGCACATAGGACCAATTTCGGGGAAGCGCTCAATGACGGGTTACGCTGAGCTTTCGCGAATCCAAAAGGATTTCGCCAAGGTGATCGAGCTTTTGAAGGCTCCAATTCTTATTCCGAAACTCATCGATGCTCGGAGGCAAATCGCATCAGCGAAGAATCCGTCCGCTAATAGGGTTAATCTTGCGTGTAAGTGCGATGCGAAAGTGAATGCCGGCAAGAATGGGCCATAAGTACTTTCCTGCAATAATGCATATCTGACCTGTATCTAAAGGGTGGTTATTTTTTAGGTTTTTTTAATCCTATGACAATGAGGCTCTAGTAGTTTTTGCACACGAATTCAACGTGTGGCAGCTTGGGCTAGTTGGTATGGCATGACGATAGTTATAGCGCGAGAACAAAACGACGACACAGAGCAAGACTAATTAGCGCAAAGTTTTTTATTAAGTTTTTAATTATTGACTTGAAGGCAAGTGTTTATATTACGAAGTTGTAGTGCGTGCTAGTTTATGGCAGACCTACATTTTGGATATCACACAAGTTGCACGTGGTTCGAGGTTTTCATAATCGAACTTGACGATCGAAATCGAAACTGGTTGGCCACGAAGCGCGCTCATTTCCAAAGACCACAAGGGTCCTGTACTGAGGGCTCTGCCTTCGCTGAAAGAATTTCTTTGAAATAAAAGTTTCCCATCCCATTCTACATCATGCTGGAACTACCCAGTCACATGGGAAAGACAAAATTTGAATTACGGCGCACCGCGGCAGTATACGCTTTCGTGAAAAGCTGCGAGTCATCCGATTTGTGCCGGCGCTTAACTTTTGCGCGCCCTGTTTCACCTCTTTCTGTCAAACTGCGCATAGGAAAACAGAAATAGCAGCCTTTCCTTTGTGAAACATCAAACACTGGGGGCGGCCACTGCGGCGCTTCTTGCAGACAGCCTAGAAAGAACCTCGCTTCCGAAAGGGGCATTCTACAGCTGATCACACCCACGCCATAAATCAGGTCACTGAGAAACCTTGCGTAATACACCCAACCTGCTTGCGAGTTACATATGTCAAGACTGTTGCACATTAATTTAGTTTGATCCACATTAATTTTCAGACTCACTCTTCTGCTTTCCGGGTCCAGTTGGACTGTAATTCATCCCCTGAGTCATTCATATGTCATCAGCGAATCGCCGGTTACTGAGATACTCTGCATTAACCCTTACCCCTTACTCTTCCCAATTTAGGGCCCTGAAAACCTTCTAGCTTTACAGCACATGGCGAACAGCCTCAATTAATCGCGCATACGCTGCTGCCATCGCGTTGTCCGTCTGCTGTGTTGGTCTGTTTCGGGTGACTGAACTACGCGTTGCCTGGAAGGATTCCAGAGTCTTATTTTGTGCTTGCAAACACAAGTAGTTAACCACGTAAATCAAGCGCATCGCTTGTGTCAGTTGACAGCATCTGTACTGAACGGTAATATCTATATACTCATTTACTGAGGGTGAGGGGAATAAAAGCACAAAACGTTCCAGAGTTACTAGCTTTTTTTTTTTTTTCAAACACAAGACTGAATACAACTGGAATTCACGAAGTGGGCGCTATCAGTCAGGCGTAAATAGGAGTTCGGTTTTTCAGGTACATACGTATGCATATATGCACATCTAAATCCTGCCGACAGCCAACAGAACAATCGGGCAAAGGCCTGGCTTTACTCCAGCCATTTTCATTCTGCTCCAGACATGTCTGACATGGTGCCGAGCACTTGGACAACATTTCTTAGTGAACTTCTGTCGATCTCTAAGCAAAGGCCACGCCAGACCGATGTTTGGGAAGATGTAGTATATATACTCCCAATAGCAAAAGTTGGCGGGACGCGAAATTGTGGATAAATCGAAATTCCCGCTTTGTCTAGGAATGTAATTTCGAAATAAATGTTCCATACTGCACTTGGCATTCCGACCTGTACAGTCACCAGCTTGATTAGAAGCATTAAGCACTGATGTAGCATAAATTCGCATTTGTTATGGATCCAACGTTCCTCAAACTTCTGCCATTTATAGTACATCCTGCACCCAGGTCAAGGAAGGATGTAGACAGACGGAGGAATTAAGGCGCGCCTGTCGCGTAGATGGCATGATATGAGTGATTTTTTAGCCATACCCGATAAGCGCAATCCGTTTCCTACTTACGGGAGGCGTGCGGTGTCGTTGATACAACTACGAAAGTACTCAAGCGTCAGTAATCCTCTGAGAGACTTTTCACCTGAACAGAACAGCTTCGTCGTGACCTACGAATGGCACGGCCAGATTATTTCCTTTTCAAAATTATTTATTTTGTTTTTGCTACCCGTATAAGTAGACATTCGGCAAAATGCCGCGTTTTTTCGGCGCACTTTTCAAGGCAACGACTACGAAAAACATGTCCTTGTTCTCTGCCATAGTAGAAGGGGCGAAATTAAAAGGCGTCCATAAACAAGTCGTTCTCTTTACAGCTGTCCCCGAGGTGCGACAGCCAAGAAGCAGAGATAAATCCCAGCCGTCCGAACCAACGCACCGTCATGTCGGCGCCAAAAATTGCGCCGACACTACTTTGCCAGGGCAGCAGCCCCAAGGCTTGTCGATGGCGCCCATTCAACGTCTATGTATGTATTCGCGGCGAGATCGGGCTTTAAGTGACACCACCGTCCCGAGAAAGTGTGCTTATAGGCGTTCGGCGGCGCGTATACAAATACACGCAGCGGCGCTTCGTTGCGTGCGGTCCGAGCCGATTGCCGGCGATACAATGCGTTGAGTATACAGTTTACTATTAATAATTAATAGGGAGCTTTGGAATACCGTTTGTAAGTGCTGCGGGCGTAGCGGGCGCCATGTGAGTTTTAGAATAGCGTTTGCCCGGCTGCGAACTGCAACGCACGATCGCAGCGACACCGTAGCCTCGAAACCAGCGCTTGCGGGCTGCCATCCCCGCCCGTAACCTCGAAACCAGCGCTTGCGGGCCACATGCGGGCCGCCATTACCGCACGCAATTTCAGTTTTTTTTTTTTTTTGCGTGCGAACGCCGACTCGCGTTACGACGCATGCGCAGTGGCAGCGACCGCACCGCAAGGGCTCGCGGTGCGCTATTCTAAAACTCCCTAATACTATCTACGCTCTTCTCTACTGAATCGGTGGACGACGCCTATGCAACGTTAACATTACCCGCAATAAAGCGCATTCTGCCTTTTATTGGGATGCTCGCCCTGCGTGACTTTCTTCATGCTTTCGCACTTAATCACGCCTTTGCTGTATTGTTTGTACATGGTTAGCTTGCGTTACGCCTACTACGCACTGCTGTAGTGTGACTGAACTACTCATTTTCGTCTTTGTCATCTGCACAAAAAAAGAGAGAAAGAAATACCATTGAAAGCCCGCATTTCTGTGCGATTACTTCAATACCACCTTTTGCACTTTATACACATATGATGTTTTCTCTCTCATTCTGTTCACCATGAAATGTGAGACATTCGATAAGTCTAGATAGGAAAGCTTAGTGATTTACAGTGCTTTGCGCTACACTGCGTTTACCACGTGTACGCACATGTTCTTGCACCGGTAAAGATCTTGAATAAGAGTTCAGCAGAAAGCTTTCATCGATGGATTACGTGCATGACGGTGATACAACAAAGGCCCGGTTAATGGGACAAGCATGTTTTTTTTTTTTTCGAAAAAAAAATAACCACTGCATTTTGTCAGTCACTAACGATGCCACACAAAAGCTAAAGATAATCTAAGAAATTTTTTCAGTGACGCTAGAGACGATCTAAAAAAGTTTTCAGTGAAATCATACTACATTATGTATAAGGCATGTCATCTGAACTAATTGTCAACATCTGGGTTCTTTAAAGCGTTCTCAAATCTAAACACACGGTTGCGCACGGCAACTCTGCTTTAAGTACAGTTTAAGTACCGATGTGTCACAGTTTATGTGATAGTGATTTCTATGTGGTGATACTACGGCCACATAAACACAGCTAAGGCTCCACCGCATGACCGATAAACTACAGTGCCATAATTGTACACCTACCAACAGCGCGCAAGTGCATAGCCTTGAGCCTTTTTTTAAACAACCAAGTTGCTATAAAACGCTGCATTCACACACCATTTAATAGTCCTCATGTTTGGGAGGATGCCAAGTGCATTTTGCGATGTGCTTGAAACAGAAATTTAAGCGGCACCCACACTGAAATTATTCTGCTGAATGGAGGATACGAAGACAATAAACAGCTCTCTGGAAAGTTGCACTCTCCAATTTTGTTACAATGCAGTAGGGACCGAGCAAGACGAAATGCTTTCGTACGTCGTTTCAGGCATCCCAAGAAACAGTTACATGACCGCACAAGCCACACTTTGAGAACGTGCATGACGTACGCGCACATAGAAACACGACGTGGCTAGCAGACGACGCACGGAGCAATCCACACTTCACCACTTCGGCCAGTTGCCGCTAGGCGGCGACTCTGCCCGATCCCGCGGCTAATAGGGCCAGGATGCGCGTCGGAAGGGGCATTCGAGTCGGGGCTTGTTTGTTTCGTGCAGCGATACTACAGGTTTGACGACGAGAGATAAGTCGGCTTCTATTAGCCGCCTTCGTTAGCAACGTGGGCATAAAAAACTTCGGGCGAAACGT